GCAGAAAAAATGGCCAAGTATAGATAGCATATCTCCATGTATGCTGTCTTTACACTACATGTTATAAATACAGGTCTGGGATTATGAAGCCTCTTCACGTTTCCCGTATTGATCCAGGGAGTCTAAAGAATATCGAGACTAGTCACTGCTTCGGAATGTTCACCTCCAAACACCTGTTCATATCCTTCTAGTGCCGTCGATGCATCGCTTCCGCCTTTTCATATTTCCCTTGGCTGCAGAGCACATCGCCAAGGCTACTGACACTGGTGAGCGTGGAGGGATGCTCGCGTCCAAGCACCTTCTCTCGTGCTTCCAACGCCCGTCGATGCATCGCTTCCGCCTCTTCATAATTCCTTTGATTGGAGAGCACACTACCAAGGCTACTGACACTGGTGAGCGTGGAGGGATGCTCGCGTCCAAGCACCTTCTCTCGTGCTTCCAACGCCCGTCGATGCATCGCTTCCGCCTCTTCATATTTCCCTTGATTGGAGAGCACACTGCCAAGGTTATTGACACTGGTGAGCGTGTCAGGATGCTCGCGTCCAAGCACATTTTCACTCCCTTCCAACGCCCGTCGATGCATCACTTCCGCCTCTTCATATTTCCCTTGCCTATAGAGCACATTGCCAAGGTTATTGACACTGGTGAGCGTGAAGGGATGCTCGCGTCCAAGTACCTTCTCTCGTGCTTCTAGCGCCCGTCGATGCATCGCTTCCGCCTCTTCATATTTCCCTTGGCTGAAGAGCACTAAGCCAAGATTACTGACATTGGCGAGCGTGTCGCGATGCTCGCGTCCAAGCACCTTCTCACGTGCGCCCAACGCCCATCGCTGCATCATCTCCGCCTCTTCATATGTTCCTCGAAGCATCAAATACCATCCGCAGTTTGAGGAAATCGTGGCCACATGCAGTCGATCTTCATCATGCTCATCAGATGTTGACTTCATCACTTCCTTCGCATGCGGAAGCAGCCTTTGACATTCAGTCCAGCTCTTGTACTGTCCATCGGGAAATATCTTTGCCATGATGGCTAGCGACTTCTCTTGCCACCGTGCCAGCTCGAGGTGGATCCCTAGCCATGTCCGGACCGATAACTGAACTAGTCGGTGCATATCAAACGACGCTGTTTCAATTTCAACCCGAACAAGAGAATAACTGATCAACGGTGCCACTGCATCTTCGAACTGGAGCCCATCACCATCGGCACGGACGAGGCCTTCTGGGATCCCCTGCCGATCAAACATGCTCATTAACGCCAGTAGATCCGTCGCCGCCGGCCAGTCATGACGGATTTGCTCGAAGGATAGCTGCCATGTCGTAATGACCGCATGCCGAATACTGGGGTCCCGCCGGAGGTCTTTGGCATCCTCATGCTGAAGAAGATGTGTCTGGTTCGACTCGCTCTCACGGAACAACTGAAGGTACCGGGAGACCGTGACCCGAGATGATCGATTCGCAATATAGGACCCCGCCTGAGTGATTGCCAGCGGAATATATTCAAGTGCCTGGACCAGTGCCTTCTCCTCCTCTGCAGACTCTCCAGATTGGGGGGCCGGAACCCTCACCCGCAACAATGCGAGGGACTCCTCCTCACTCATTGGCTGAACCTTGATCATATGACTATCGTTGCCCACCAGATTCCGCGCCGCAAGACCATTTCGCGATGTGATCAGGATTGATCCATGGGCAGCCTGGGGCAGGAACCTCACCAGTGGCCATCGTTCATTAGATTCATTGCCACTGAAAAAGAAACCATCCTTATCCGCATTATCTAGCACCATCAGCCAGCGCCCATTTTGTGGATCACACAACCACTGATACACGAGCTGGAAGATGTTTATCTTCGGATCATCCCGTCCCGGAATTTCCGCGACTGTGGCAATCTGCTGGTAGCCCTGTTCCAACCGCCCCGCATTGCTGGCGTGGATCCAAAAAACCCACGTGTCCGGTGTGGATTTTCGCACGTGATAAGAATACTCGATAGCTGTCTGGGTTTTTCTAACGGGCAGTGAGATTAGTTGTTATTCAACTGGCTTTCACAGGGGACAGCTAACCCAACGCCGGCCAACCCCACCAATGCCACCCGCTCATGATGCTGGCCGATCGCCCCATGTTTTTCCTTGATCGCACTGATAACAGCTTCACGGCCCACAAACATCGGATCCTTCTTAAAAGGCACCGTGGAGCGCGTCTGGGGCTTCTGACGCGTCTGCGCTGAAAACAGTTCCCATTAGCTCTTAAAGAGACACTGGAGCAAGCCACTCACTAAACCGAGCCGCCACCACTGATGGCGCGTCTTTTGAGAACTGCTGCAGTCTATCGAGCGCCGTTCGATACCCGGCCGTGTTGCGCGTGTCGAATTTGACCACCATCGAGTGATCTGCACGCAGCGGCACCTTGTCCTCTACATGGTCGGGAAGCTGGAGAAGGCCCGAGTCTGCGCCAACCGTCGTGATAAAATCCCCGGTGCGTTTCCATCGTCCGCTTTCCGAGTCCTATTGCGATCGTCAATATGTGTTATAGGCTGTCTCAGACAAAGACCAACACGTATCAATACCAACTTCCTCGTCTGCTCCGTCTCATAGAAGCTGACCACCTTACGGTCCCGGATCAGATTTTTAAAGTCGGCCAGTTGATGGAGTAGGACATCCGATTTGCTGGAAATCTGTTGCAATAGATTCTCTCGCGGATGGCTCTTATCCCCTGCTAGCATCTGCTGGATATCGTCCATCACTAATACTTTATGTGGGATGGCAAAGAGGATCATGCCGTACGTGGCTCGATGCAGCGACGTGATCGCCGGATGGTCTTCCTCCATCGTCTGGATGGCCCTCACCAGGCACTATAAGTTGGTATCAGCATATGATATGTATCTCAAATCGGACGGTGGTCCCACGTGAGCCACGATAATGCTTCCAAAGCTGTGTGCGATGAAAACCAGAGGTCTCTGCTGGAGCTAGTCGAAGAATTAGCCCAAACTTGCTATCAATAGACAAGTCAGATAGCGTCTCCTACCTCCTTCATGTTCCGGATTTTCTTGATCTCCTCCATCAGCTCCCGCCCGTAGTCGAGGATCGTATCGACTCCATGGCTCGACAGCTTGGAATTGTACCCGTAGATCATTGTGCGACACTGCGGAAGATCCTTCGACAGGAAGTCACGGAGCCACATCCGACCGAGATTTCCTCTTCCTTGCCACGATCCATACGCATGTCCATCCAGTCCGGCAATAGCAATGATACTACATTACGTTATCAGTTAGTATTAATATTCTAGATGTGGATAAAGACACAGGTCCTTACTCTGCAACCACAGGCTCATTTTCATCCGGCGCGTAGAGCTGGGTAAATCCAAAGAAGTGGCAGTCAAAGTTAATGTCATTGTATCCCATCTCGACCTGCCAGTCTCCAAGAGGGTCAACTCTCAGCTTATGGAGGAACTGAGGCACCCCACCGCGAAATTGCACCAGCGCCACCCTCTGTGTGTCACTTTCATAGCATGAAGGCACTATTGTGATCTCGGCCTTCATGTGCGATCTCTCGTCGTCACTGAATTTGTCGTTGAGTGCCTCTTGCAATGCGATCTCGAGATCCTCATCAGGCAGTTCCCTCGACAGCCCTGTCACCCGGAAGACGTGCGACTTTCTCTGACTAGCCATCGTGATTCGTACTCACGCTTGATGATAGAATAGTAAGTTAGATGAGAGCCGCCTGTACATCTTTGTGGGTAAATGGCCACCTCAACCTTGCCGGTGAGGCCGAATCAATCAACACGTGCGGGGTATCGAGCATGTACCTATATTTATTATTATTATCACTTCGTAGATACCACTGTATACCAAATGGAATGTCCTCCCGAATCATTCCTTGATGGAGAAAATAGTTCACCGCCACATACTGTATCAGTCTGTCGCTACCATCTAAAGGCTATTTTCCTAAAAAAGCCGATTATCATAACCTTAACTTAATGGCTTGGCACCTCCTCCGTATAAGTCTTGCCCTGACATCACGTGCCGTAAGTTGAAACCAATCAGGCTTAGTTTAGTTCAGAGCTAGCCACTTTAGACTTAGCTCCTCGTGAAAAGACGGTTTTACGTAAGACCACATTCCAGGCCATGGACATCCTCATGGCGTCCAAGTCCACCCATGGGCGGACTTGGATCGGACCCACTTCGGACTGGGCGTGTCCGCCCATGGACTGTCCAAAGTGTCCAAAGTGTCCAAAAGTGTCCAAAGCCGCCCAAAAATGCATAAATCTCCCACATAACTTCATGATTCAGCAAAATACAAAACGGTTATTTACACTAGTCATAGTCACTACAATCCTTTTGACGTAGCAGTTGTTCTTCGATCATCTAAATTTGTTGAAATTCTCATGTATTCTGATTCAATTTATACGGAACACTGATCTTCTCTCTTATTTGCGACTATTTGGTGTGTATACAGTTTCCTGTGACTTGAAGCTATTCTAGTGAGAGAAATATATATCTTTTGAGTGCACCTCATATTCATTTCATTCCTAGTTCCTACCAATATTTAGTGATTCCGGGTGTCAGTTAAATACCTAAGGAAAACTGAATACACATCTAGTCCATTAATCAAACTGGGTATATCTACCATTAATATGAACCAGAGGTTGATAATATCGTTTATTCATGTAGAGTAAAGACTAGAAAACATGGAATAGCAGTACCACGTGACTTGATGAGACGCCCTCTATAAAATAATAATGTAGAAGGGGGGCATGTCCTTCAAGCAAATTTTCAGGGTATTTGGGCGGACTCTGGACAGTTCAAAGTCCGCCCACGCTAAATATGCATGTCTCCACCACCATATCCAATCGCAATTCATAGAAGTTGGAGGCCATAGCGTTCATGCGCGATCTATCAGATCTTATCTTTTCAGGTAGACAAACGGTCATAAGAGGCGAATAACCCTACTCCATGAGTTTCAGGGAGACTTTCCTCTTCTATTTTCCCTAAAGATCCCGTACTCTTGGATCATGTCTCAAGATACTGACCTCTCCTCGTCGTCTTTCCACGGTAGCTACGGTCTAGACCTCTTTCCCTCCGACCTACAGTCCAGTCAGCAAACCATTGAATCAACCCCAGCCTCCAAACCAGTACATCCTATGATCTCTTCCTCCCTTGAGCGATTCGGAAACGACTGGATTGTTTACTCTGAAATGAGCAAGGAGATTTTATCTTCTGGTGGATTCAGACTATCCACGGAAACGAGCTTCGTGAAAGGAATAAGAGCTTCTGGGATCGATCTCGGAGTTATTCAGAGGCGTGGAAAAGCTTTGAGCAGGTAGCTCATACTGCGACTGGAGATCCAAAGATAGTATGCCAAAAATGCGGTCAGCGCCTTGATCATCCAAGCCGCAAGTTGAATGGAACTACCCCAATGGCAAGACATCTCAGAGGAGAGAAATGCCAAAGACTCAGCAATCGGACTGCCGGCAACAGCTATCTTCAAGACCTTTCTACCCGCCAGGTAAGGAATATACTTGAAGCTAAAAGGTAGATTGCCTTGATATTAATGTCTATCGTTTATCAATAGGCGCGTGATCATCCAGCCCGCGAGAAAGGCGAGTCTTTTACAAAGGAACTATGGCAAAAAGATATCTTCACAGCTATTACTGGTCTACGACTCCCTTTTCTGATCATCGAAAACCCATTATTCCAGAGGTTACTCCAGCGAGCCCAGTCGTCCCCTGTGCCTCTTGAGTTTCCTTCGGCAAAGACAATCCAGCGCCGGCTTCGAGATACTGTTCAGGAAAGACACCAAAGTGTACTCAAGAAGCTACCGGCCGAGGCCAAAATGTCTATTGCTCTAGATTGCTGGACCTCTCCTTTTCAACAAGCATTTATGGCTATCACTGGCTACTTTATTGATGATAAATGGAAATGTCGTGAGCTTCTCCTTGGGTTTGAACCACTCCATGGATCCCAAACTGGCGTTAATCTTGGTACCGTTCTTTTTGGGGTTCTTCAGTGATATGAATTGGTTGAACGGGTGTTGGCTGTGACAACAGATAACGCTTCAAACAATCAAATATTGGTAGGAAGAGTGCATGAGCAATTGGAGACGCTTACTCTCAGCAATACAACACCGAACATCCGAGTTCCATGTATTGCCCATGTTATTCAACTGAGTCTCAAGGGCCTTCTCGGTTATATGTAGCTCGAACCAGTCAATGAGGCTACACAGAGAGAATGGTCTGAAAACCAGTCCCAATCACTCCGTGCTAGTCAAAGGAAGGGTATAATTTGTACTTTTAGCAAGGTTAGAAGCGAAATGTCTCACAAGTTTTAACACTAATAAATTTATTAGGTTCGTGGCCTAGCGGTTTTTATCAACGCTAGCCCTCAGCGTCGTGATACATTTCGAAGTCTCCAGATTAAAGGCTCAAAGCTTTTGCCAATCCAGGGTGTCAAAACCCGCTGGAATTCCACTTTTCTTATGCTTCGACGTGCAAAGAGATTACAGCTAGTGTTCAACAGATAATGCTCTGAAAAACAGTATACGCAGTTCACGTTAGATCGGGAAGAATGGCGACGAATTGACTACCTGCTATGTTTGACCCAACCTTTTTTCCAATTTACCACTATTCTCTGCCAAACTAAGGAAGTGACTGTTCATATCGTTTTCGAGATTTACCACACTCTTTTTGAACATCTTGTAAAATCGATACAACAACTTTAACAAAAGAGGGTCCCTTGGAAGCAATCAATTCTTTGTGCAATTCAGGCAGGAAAGGAAAAGCTTGCAGCTTATTATGGTAGCACTACTACAGCCCATGGTGATCTTTACGCGATCGGTACAATACTTGCACCACAGCATAAACTGCAATTCTTTTCGCGTTGCGAATGGGCAGAGAATAACTTCGCATCGTCTGAGATATCGACAAAGTCTTAAAGGCTATGTTCGACCCTATCAAGAGCGGCTATCCAATAGCCAAGCATTCTCAAATAACCAGACACCATTGGACCAGGGCTCAAAGCTTGCAGCACTCATCGCGCAGGTCGGTTCGAACCGAAAACCAGTACCTCGCCACAGTAATGAGGTTGAAAAGTATCTTGAGAGTGGTATGTCTTAACTCGGTTTGTTTCTATAGTGAATATGGCTAAACTAGATCATCTAGGCACTACTCCAATTGACCCATGTTCCTTCTGGAAAGGCCATCAGCATGAATTTCCGATGCTCGCAAGTGTTGCACGAGATGTTCTTTCTATCCCAGCAACAGGTGCGGGCGTTGAGCGACTGTTCAACTCTGCTCGGGATATCTGTCATTATTGTCGAGGGTCACTGAAGCCTACCACAATACAGGACCTGGTGATGTATATGTGTGCAACTAAGTTTGACCTCGGGGAGGAGGAGCAAGAAACCTCTAGGCAATCCTTCTCGAGGGAGGAGAGAGAGACCGCGGACGAAGAGAAAGATGCCCAGAATCCCAAAGAAATCCTTGATCTTATCAGTGATGATGAGGCGGATTCACGGATTGATTCTAGGGAGGCTGGAATCAATGCCGATGTGGCAATTTAGCTTACCTCTGGCCGGGAGCATTTGGAACCCTTACAGGGTTCTTCTAGCGATGGAGAAGAGGTTTTAGAAACTACCAGAGAATCGGGTGATGATGATGATGGTGAGCACCCCTTACCAAGGGATCACTCCCTAAAGCGCTCATCAGGGAGGGTCCGTAGACCTTCTAAACATCTAAGGGGATATGATGTATATTAAGAGACAATTCCACAATCTAGAATAGGCAAAAGAATACGCACACAAATACAATGGCTGCTGCAAGAATTTATCTGCAGGCGTAACCTAGATACGATTGAATGCAGCAAATTCTACATAACTCTATGCATATTACAGTGTCCCACTTTTGACCCATTGGACTGTCCAGGGCGTCCAGGTGGGCGGACTGGGTGCCCCTCGACCCGCCCACTGGACACCAGAGGAGTGTCCAAACTGGTCCATGGGCGGGTTTGGACTTGTCCATCGATGGGTCATATGGACTTTGGCGAGGTCTAGATAAGATACGCTGATGAGATCACGTGGTAGCTCGATGATAAGTTGATAACTACATAAGTGTGGTCTAATGCGCGGTTGAAATCAGGCCTGGTGGGATATTGTTGCAAATAACAACCTCTGTGTGGGTCATTCTATGATAAACTCTCGAGCATGATGTCTCACCCAATCTATATTTTTGACCGAACTGCCAAGAGACAGTCAGGTAGTCCAGGATCCAAAGACACGCCGAAGTTGCACAATCTTCCACAACAATCTCCAGATGGTACAACCATCAAATTGACTGTAATATTTTAGTTTCTCCATTTGATCATTCTGATATTGGTCAACACGTTAGTCGAGGGACTTTTGATTAAGCCTCCTGGTGAGAGACTCATTCCCAAGTGTTCAGATCTATGACCTTGTGGACCCGAGACAATTTGGCCAGCCATTAACGGCCGTTGAATGCCCGTGTGATCGTGATACAAGGATGGGTACACTCATCACAGCATGTTGTCCGGTTTCAATTTGCACAAGCCTCACTGTTTCTGAGGCATCAATCCAAAGCCTCAAACCACTACTCGGATATTCAGTAGGAAAAGAAACGGTGTTCCCAGAATTCCTAGTGATACACCTGCCAATCTCAAAAAGATTTCTCATTGATCTGACTAATTCTATCGAACTGGAGACTGTGTGCCAATTCCACCGAGTTACCAGGTTAGGAAAAAGGAATAGCTCACGGACTATAGATGATGTATATTGATACATCTATCGTATGGGTAAGATGGCGAGGAAACCTTTGCCCTTCGTCCGCGAGACGTTGAACACTCCCCTTCACCATCATCACACCATCAACATCAATGTCATTGCCCGCCAACGCCACCTTTATCAAACACATCCTTATAATATATGTTTCCTCTCTCAAGAAATATTATGGGCCTATTATTTCAACACACCGCACCGAGCATAAATATGTTCACATTTTCGCGTCTGCTCGCCTCAGGTTTTAGGTAAACAGTTTTCCTTTTCTAAACGAGTGCCAAAGTTGAGGACCTCAATATTTCTGGATGATCAAGTAATAAAAACCTGTCATCCGAGGAAGACTTTCTTTGCACAAGCTCTACGACCTGTTTCAAGAAATCCTGTCCCGTCTATTTCAAACCACCACCTGTCCAGAGTAACATAAAATCCCCAATGATCATTTGATTTGTCGATATGGAAGCTAGCCGTTGCGATTCGAAGCCCCGACATGCATTACTATATAAGCCCGTCCACAATAATGGCTCTGTCGACCCAAAAGTCCATTTCTGCGGCAGCGGAATTCTGCTTTGCTTTATTTTCCATATAATTCGGTGCTCTTCATCAACAAGCAATGCGATCACAGCATTGGTTTCTCAGTTATCCAACCTCTTTTGTTCTGGCACTTCTGCTTTTTGCCATTACTTGCTTGACTCGAGGAAGCAGCTCTCTTCTTTCTTCTTCCTGTTGGACCACATCGGAATTATTTTGCACATATGGGGGACGTCCGTATCGGTCTTGCTATTAGAGAAAACTGGTAGTGGGAAAATCACTTCAGTCATTCTGGGAATCACACTGGCCGGGGTGGTCTGTGCCACCTATTTGATAACCTGGCCAAGGGATAAGAGAGAACGGGTGCTGGTCATTGGGGTGTTTGGAGCATTGGCTTTATGCAGCGTCTCGCTCTACAACGCTGTTTTCTCGAGCATGTCTCGACTGACGGCATCTTATATCTTCTTGGCTCTGGGCAATGGCATCGGAGGGTGGTTCTACTCCCGTGGGTCTATTCAAATGCTGAGTCAACGTTCAAGCAAGCCCCATATTGTGTCGGGGCATTCGTTGATGCACCTATGCTCACTGATTGCATCAATATTTCACGCTTCAATTCTGGCTTCTTTTGTCTGTATCTGACAGACTTGAGCACCTGGCCGCACGAGAATCTAATCCCGTATGTTCATCTGAGAGCACAGAAAGGTTAAAATCAATGCCACCGACCAGTGGTTCGTTTTGCGAGATGAGGCTGGTGTGGATCAAGAACAAAGTCACGCTATCGAAATTGTTTCCCGAGGTGCCAAAACCTCGTCCATGGAAACAGGAATCAGTCGTCAATACCGCGTGATTTTGCCACAGGGCGGTTTCCTGTAAATTACTTCATATGACTTTGTTTCTTGTAGGATTAATGCTGGGGCGCTGCTTCAGATGCGTTTTTTAAACAGCATTCTCCAATTCAAGTCAAACAGGAAACAATGAGACAAGGAGGATTTCATATAAAAACAATCGCATAATTTTGTGATGGTTTTTCGAAGAGTGAGGGCGGGAGGTGGAACCCAAAAACATGAGAGAGATTCGAATGATATGGTCGTGCAATGGACTTTACTACAGAGTTGCTAAGACAATTTACCAATTGAATCCCATCATTGTAATCAAAGCATGTTCATCTCTTGATCTGACAATCCAACCGATCATGGCCGATGTGGAGCAGTATTTCCACGTTAATGCACATCTTTGTGTGGCTCGATACAAAAGATCAGTAATGGTTGACGATCTGCCCTGCGCAAGTATCCATCAACCTTGATGTTTGTAAAGACTTCAAAAAGCCGAATTTGGAAACGTGTGAGTCTTCCAGGAATCACATAGCCCCAGGAAATCGCACGTAACTTATAGGACTCTCCATTCCCATTAGCAGAAAATTAGCCATGTTCCTATTGACGGCATTATCCGCGCCAGGAACGCACATCTTGGCCCCGGGAGCTCTCTTGCTCCCGGATACTTTAGTGCGGTTTCTGGGAGCATACAAGCAGCTTCTAGCAGCCACATAGCCCCAAGGAAACCCGACGTAACTTCTTTGGTCTTGTACCTCCGCCTCGAGTAACCAAAGTCATGTTCCTATGGACAGCTTTGTTAACTCCTGGAGCCTCGATCACGGTTCCTGGGGCCATAGTTAAGCCTTCTGCGAGTGATCGAATGACTCGATATTGTGTGCAGGTCCAGTGAAGGTATCGTGTGAAGACTTTCCTCAAACCCCAGACGAAGAAAATTGACTCTAGAACCCAGAAGGAGGGTCCCAGGAGTGCAACAGCCACCCATGTATTCCCAAAGCCAATTTTGTATTGAGTTGGAAACTGTGTCAGGGATATACATGAAGCGTACAGGATGTATGGTGATATGATCTGCGGGACCCACATGCATATAGTACCGTTCGTTACATAACCGTGCCAAGCCCACCAACACTATACGTGTAGTGTGTTGGTGGGCTTGGCACGGTTACAAGAATATTTCAGCTGTGTTTGTTTTGTTTGCAGGTACACATTAGAATTCATTGAGTAGTAAAAGACCCAGATGTCCCCACAATTCCAAATAAATATGTCAATCCCTTCCTGATCCTCCTTAACCCTCTGACTTTACCCCCAGCCTTGAGCATTGATCGCCATGCAAGCTGGGGTTTTTTGTGGGCATGGATCACATCCGCCAATATCCCCGCTCTTCTGAGTGGAAATCATGAGTCAAGATGCAGAGAATTTTGAAATGCTTCTCTGAATCATTCCCGATGTCTCTCGTCCTCGGGGCTTGGAGCTTTACGGACGGCCTTGGACCTACTGAGTCATTAATTCAGATGGATACGGTGGAAGCTTTCTATTACCTTTCATTCAATCTACCAGCGTTGATCAGCCGCATGACGGACCTCGCTGCTCACACGTCTGCCTATTATACCGAATACTCTGAAGCCTTTCACCGACAGAAATCTCTCAGGCTGCGATATCCTACGAACCACTCCGTGCGACCCGTGCAACCCAACGAGGTCGTGTGGATCGACCAGAGACGAAATACCTCCAAATTCGACAAAAGTATCGCGAAGGCAAAGGGCTTAATGGACTCAACTCAATGCTCTGGTCGCAAGCGACGCGCGGAAGAAGACCTACCTATCGGCCGGAATGAGCCCTTCGCTCCAGTGAACAACGACACAAGGTCATCATCGAGTATGACAGCCATACACAAAAGGTGCTTGAAGAGCTCGTCCGGGGTATTGGCGTTTTCAGGAGTAATATACGACGAGCGAAAATGTCGATGGCACAGACGCGCTTTCTTCCAAAGACAATGGACAAAACACTCTGTTTGGTGAATCATCAATTGGGAGAATCGGATCCGCCATGATAAGTGTCTGGCTCCAAAAAAGCCCAGAAAAAGTCAGTCATTGACCTTGCTAATAAGCAATTGGAACTAGCTCATGAGCTTTGTGAAACAGCAGCATATCAGGCACTGCGAACAGGCGACTGTGCTTCGGAAATCGACAGTGCGTTGAAAATCTCGAAAAGCTTCTGACAGCGAAGCTGTAGAAAACGACCGAAGAAGAGAGTTTTGCAAATGCTCATTCTACTTCGACCGCAGCACGACTGGCTAGAGTAGCCGCCGTGGCCGCGAGGGAGCCGTCAACTGTTAAAACGAGCATTATCGAAGTCGACGATGCCTCGTACTTATCAGGTGAGTCCGTCAACCGGCTAGACTTTCTGTCATGAGCTGTGCTGCCCACGATGCTATCCCTTGATCCGAAATCTTTTGTGCATAACGTATTGAGTAATTTCGAGTGATCCGGTGAAGAAATCAAATAAAATCAAACTGGTGACTCTTTTACACTGTTCTCATCGTAAACACCAGGACTTATAAGTATTTTCATGGGGTAATTTCTCGAGTTGTGAAGTCGATTATACTATTCCTGTGCCGAAAAAAGTAGGACATAGCAATCCGTGAAGAAACTGAAGACCGTCTTGCTCTTTTCTCAGGTGCTACCAGCTTCCATCAAAACATGAGTGAGCTGCTCTGGCTTATCACCATCGAAGTGTTTACTCCATCGTGTAAAGCCCGCCTCGGGTTCAATCATGTACAAAACGGACCCAATAATACCTACATCATTAGGAACGAGTCAGAAATATTTTACAAGGTCTCACTCTGACGTGAAAGAAACTGAGCGGGGTACTTCGACCACCAATTGGGGTCCAGAGGCACCGACGGTTGGAACTGGTTTGGAAGACTTATATTCATGTCGAACAGTCTGGGGGATTTCATGGCCCGCGGCGAGAAGGGCGCTGGCCAGGGTTCGCTGCCAGGTCCCGAGACAACTGACTCCAGGTGCATAAGTCGCGCCTCACCTGCCACTGGGCACGCCCCAGGGTATGACAAATCGAGCGATGATGCTAATGGGAATGCCCCGAAATCCAAGGAATCTAGCGTAGTTGTCATATGGGCCTGATCTACAGCCATCGTAGCTAGAACCCTGGCTTCCGGTATTGTTGTTATCCCGCTGCTAGGGTCGCCTGTGCCAATTGCCGGATGCTTTGAGAATCCGGAAGGTTGATCTAGCCGAATCTCGAGATTTCAGCCAATGAACTAGAATACCTGTTTGGCGCAACGCGAATAGTCCGACTTACCTGTCTTGAAGTTCATCGAGGGGTAGCCCGCAGGAGTGTTCTGATGAGACGAGAATGCCTTCAAAGGGAATGGGGCACATGAATACAACATGTCCATGGCTTCGGGGCTCAGGCTGGTTGGCGGTATCGTAACCGAATGTTCCGAGAAACTCGTCCCTAGCTTCGGGCTAAGGGCGCCTTTTTTCTCCGCTGAGAGATTTCGATTGACCCGGTAAAACCGGCAATCCTTCTGCAGTCGAACACAGTTCTGACAACGTCTCTGTGTATGGTCTGCTGCGATCAGACACCGGATCTTCCGTCGCCGGCAGTGCACTACAAAACTGTGTAAGTCCACTTGCAATTACATCGAAGCTAAGTCCAGATGACTTAATCGGCAGTTTCCCCCCACACACAATGACAATGCCAGGGAAAAGGAATGGTGTCCATGATGGTTTGAGGACGACACTGACCGCATGCGACAGATATCCGGTGATACCCCAATATAATGCGCTTCGTATCAGTTGTGTTCGAACCACCTCCCATGGTGTCTAGAGTTTCGGCCGTCCGCCTCGATGGTATACGATTCAATGAAATCCTAAGAGAGCTTATCTGCCGTTAGTCGAGCATAGCAGTTTGATTGAAGCCGAAAGCAAATAGATTGCGACTTGGCGGTCAGCCTCACAAAAAAAGAGCGATTTATGTGGTCAACGTTCCAGATACCAGCAATCTCTAAAATTGTATAGTGATAACCTGTGAAATATTCGGCGAGGTTGACGATAGAAGCGTCTAGGTTGGAAATTTGATGATGAAAAGGCACGATTACTTTTCAATATTTGATTGGCGCTGAGGGATTATGCGTTTGTATCTGATCAAAGAAGATTTGGAATAGGCTATGGGCTTGTAAAGCAACCAGAGCGAACTTGACCCTGAAATTTGTGGCGTTTAACACACGAACAAGCTGCATACCTGAGTTAACCCTTCGGAACGCCCCTTTCTTCTCCCCGACGCGGGCTTCGCTTTCTCTCCTCCTGGCGGTCAAAACTGCAGATCCCATGCTTCTTCTGTGAGCTAACGACTGACCGTTCTGCTGAGGACATGGACTGTTATGCACCGATCTAAGACTCACGCTTCCAATTCACTGATCACCTATATACTGTCCCTCCAAATGAGACTCAATAGTGTTATCACATAGGCTCTCGGGCTTTTAAGGAACAAACAAACCAATTTCAGGGGCTGTAAAAAAAGATATAAAAAAAAGACCAGCGTTGTCAATATGCTAAAGCAGCGGCATTATTGAAAATGAATCGAAAGAAACTAATGTGATCAATAAGGGACGGGAAGGCCGGAGCAGCCTCGGGGTAATTGGGGGAGCAGTAGGAGATCAGCATTGTCGTGCCCATATCTCCCACCCACAACTAGTGACAAGGGATTGGAATTGGGTTTGCCGGAATGTGAGGCCGTCAAAAGTGGTCTCGCAATAAATCGACCGAAGCACTATTATATGTATGTATTCGACGAGCGCATACCATCTCAAATTTACCAAATTTACCATCGAGGTATGGAAATTAGCTATGAAGCCTCAGACAGGTCATATAATGCCTCTGCAATGTGTCCCCCTCCCCCACTTTAGGTCTATCCTAGAAGAAAAAGTATGTGTATTTTTGACAGATAGCCAAACATGCACGTCAAATTCCAACTGTGTGACTGTAAGACCAGCAGGGGTTTGAACATGATCATGCCCATTATAGAAAAAAAAAGCAAATTTTTAGTTGTAAGTTTAGTAAACCAATGAGGGTGGCTCCTGCCAATTTGTTGTTCATTCTTCGGTTCGTCATTTACCCAGTAAAGAGCAACGCAACCATCATGGAAAGTCGCAATGGGAAGAGTGCGACAACCCATTTCGAGCATTCCATCACCCTTGAGCATGAACCTCCACCTACATTGCAACAAGGATCTCCCTTTACCATAATCGTGAGAGTCAGGCTCCGGGGCACGAGAATAAGCCCAATGCAAAGCTTCGCCCTCAATATCTCTCTCCGGGAAGCCAAAGAGCTTGACCCACTTAACGCTATGAGTGGAAGCTTAACATCTTCCATACCAGACTACAATAGCAAGTGCGCAGGACATCTTGTACAATTCAACGGCTTCATCATTCACCAATCAGGACAATATCGACTTTGAATTCTGCTGGCAGCTTCTTCCTTGGCTGAGACGATCGTAACGACGCGCGTCGATTCAAATCTAATCGCAGTTGGCAGGAACGCCGCTGTTTCAGCATTCCGACCTGCCGCCTTGCGCTAATCATGCTGTGTTTGATACCTACCGTTACCTTGCAATAATCAACAATTTGGGAGACGTTGGCATGCGATAGCTTAGGGATCTGAAACTGGATCTCGAAAAGCTAAGCATTTATAGATACAGCCGAAACGAAGTAAATCTAGACTCTTCTTCCTATTTTCAGTCAAGTCAGATTTGGGCTACATTTGTTCTAAATGAGCTGCCGGAACGTTAAGCGACGTAAATTCCACCGCATTAAATCCTCGATCTTACATATCTGGGTCCAGACCTGGTTCGGAGTTTTGCAAATACTTTTGTTGTAGTTTAGAGGAATGATCAATTATTATTCCAGAGGGGATACGTGAGGCTATATATACAGCATGAGCTCCAAGTTGATTTCGAATCAACTTGCTTCTTCGTATAGACATCTCGGGAATTAAGTCCAAAGTGCAGCTTTGTTCCTGATCTGCACCAGCCTCATATCACAACAACTTCGACGATGCACGGCATAATACTGGAAGCCGCTTGAGAGTTTCTGCAAAGATCTGCGCCTGGTTTCTAGCCTGCAATAGTTAACAAACGAATAATAACTTAAATTATGGAATATTTTAGTCAGGTCTTACGAACAGGCCCTAGCTGGTTACAGAGATATCTGGCAGTTTGCGGTGACTCCATTCGGAAGTCTCGAATGCGTCTGAGTTGCGAACCCTTCCCATATACCTGCTGGAGCTGAAATCGACAAGGCGTGGCTATGTCTTCATGCGCAGCCGAAGACGCGCCACCCAGGTCGTGCATCCAAGGTCATGCAATTTTAATTATGTACTTCTGCCACAGAAATGAGAGAATTCCGATTTTCGGAGAAAGGGCTGAAGAAACAAACAGGAGCAATCTTCCTATATAATTTTACACCTGTAAAATTCACAACATTTCAGGTTAGTACATCGTCTCTGTGCAGTCAGTAAGCTGAGATTCCAATGAACGGAAGATGTTTTGGCTGCGAAGAAACCCATGGCAGCAGCAGTCTATTGGCATTGACTCCGATCACCCATCTGGATCTACCTGAGAGAAGGGGAGGACGACTCGCTCTTCTCGTAGCTGGACCACCTACGCGTTCTACGTATGGGAGGCCAGACTTCCGAGGCGGAAGAGGTCTATCTTGATGATTTTTTTTGTGCATGTAGTATAGATCCTAAGAGTAACCTTTAAAATAAAGAGTGACGAGATGTTGGTAAGTTTTGTAAATAAACAGATAAGCAAATTTTATTAACATGGAAAAAAGCATAAAAAGTAGAAGGGCATACGAGCTGGTGGGGGGGTAAATTAAGGGAATCTGCAGTTAAAACGCCGCTATTGGAATCTGTAATAGACGTCCGTTCGGTTTCTTTCACAAATCCCTCGTCTCCAAACTCAATTCAATATCTAGCCCCGTTGACCTCTAAAAATCAGGCGCCCAGTGAAGGAGTGATATGATGGTAATGAAAGGTTAAGAAAGTCGCCGTAAGTCAGACACATTTAAAGCTTTTCATGATGATCGGCAACAAATTTGTTATGGCGTTTCACTTCCTCCGATTTGGATTTAGGATCCAATTCGCCACTCTCGGTATTAGGCCCTTCACGGTAGATTTTGAGACTATCGTGTTCATGATCTCCCTTTTTCGTTTCGGGTGTTGCGGAAGTCGACTTGGGCGGTTCTAAATAATGGCTTTTTGGTCAGCACTTGGTAATTTACCTTGCTATTAGTGCTTTCCGTGGAGTCACATTCACCTTCCTTGTAATTTGCTTCCTTTCTGGTCATATCAGCTTGGGATGATTTATTGGGGCCGTTCTTCATTGTCACGTGATCCGCTAACTCCTTTTCCAACAGCAGGACTTTGCTTCGAGAGAAGGCCATATTGCGTTGAAAAAATAACTTTATGAGGGAGCACGTTTGCACACGTCGATTACAACTCACTTTGTAAAGGCCCTGCATCATGAAAGTATTTCAAAAGTGTAGAACAATACGTCCCTGAAAGAACTGGCACTTTGCTCATTAAAAAGGATGTAGCCTCGTACCTCTACGAAGCTAGCCATGTTTTTGGGCTCCTGAATACCTGGTTAGCAACTTATATTCCAAGAATGTATTAGCAGAGATCAGATGCGGTAAGAAAGGAAAGTAACCCTGTGGCCAGTTAAAGATGGTGCAGTGGTTCGCAAAGATTAAGGTTTTCCTCGGCAAGACTATTCGAAACCAAGGTGTTTCAACGGTCAGTCTAGCCCATCTATCGTAACGCCACAGATTGTGCATCTGATGGTTAACCAAGCCAGTTCCCGAATTTCGATTCGAAAGATGTGCGGCTCGCACAATCCAAGGTCGTGGACCTGGAAGTTGTTGGGTTTGCTCTGGGCGTGGCGGGAAATATTTTAATGAACATTGAATACGGGGAACACGTTCGCTGCGAAATCTCTTCTGAAAATATAGCCTCTTAGCTCCAATCTTTTAGCGTTCCGGCACTTTGGTCTTGATTGGTTTGAAAAATCGCAAACAAGTCGATTGAGCTCTCCTCCCAACGCATCCTCCGACAACGACTTTGGCCCAAAGCATAACACGACTCGTCGGTGCATTGAACAGTCATAATGCAGCCTTCTAAAGAGAGTTGTCTGAATTGTACCACAGGCTCTCCTAGCTCCTCTGAGGTGCACCCCTCGCACAATCTGGGATATATTACAAACATGACTCAAGGAAACGATACCCTGAGCAAAACGACCTCCTTCCCGTCAATTTCACACGCCGAGCAAGGCAGCTCGAATAGCACCACCCTCAGCCGAACTGATACGGCCATCCTCATTGGCAATCTCGCGACGGTATTGCCTGAATTGCGTCCACTCGACTCTCCAGCTAGGGCGGCCACTCAAGCAGAACAGAAACTGACCTTTATTGGCGGATGCCGCTTGTACCCCAAGGCCATAGCCTGGTCGTGTATTTTGTCCTCCACCCTGATCATGGAAGTATTTGATACCCTTCTTATCTTTAACTTTTTTACTTCCCCGGCATTCAAGCAAAAATACGGAACACCCTCTCCAGGCTCCGGGTATCAAATCTCCTCAACGTGGCAATTTGCTTTATCAACTGCCGCAGAGGCTGGGGAGATAGTCGGGCTCCTTGTGAATGGCTATCTCGCCGATCAAATCGGGTATCGCTGGACCATCGTCTCTGCATTGACCTTCCTCATGTTCAGCATTCCTTTATCATTTTTTGCGGTGAACATTCGGATGTTGTTAGCAGCACAAATCGTGTGTGGGATCCCATGGGGCATTTTTCAGACGTTATCAACCACATACGCAGCTGAAGTGATGCCTGTAAAGCTACGTGCTTACCTACTCAGCAATGTCAACCTGTGCTGGGTTTTGGGCCAGCTTTTGGTTACAGGGATAATGAGGACATTTGTCGGCAACACTTCCCAGTGGTCGGATCGGGTCCCCTTTGCACTTCAATGGGTGATTTGTTTCCCCATTTTGATCGCGGTCATGTTCGCCCCAGAATCCCCCTGGTGGCTTATCCGTCACAGACGAGAATGTGATGCCAAAAGGTCATTGGCGAGGTTGACCAGAAAGTACAAAATCAATGTCGACCAGATAATCGCTATGATGAAGCATACCAACGAGATTGAAAAATGTTTGAAAGAAGACGATGGGGGCATGTCATATTTAGACGCCTTCAAGGGGGTGGATCGCCGACGAACCAAGATCGCCTGTATGGTTTGGATCACATAGCAGGTATGCGGAACCAGCTTGGTGGGTTGGGCGTCAACATTTTATCAGCAGGCTGGGTTTAGCGCCGCCAACGCCTCCAACCTCTCCCTTGGCATCTACGGGATAGCCATAGTTAGCGCTGCGATTTCCTGGTCGCTCCTATCGCGTTTCGGACGTCGTAGGCTGTATCTCTGCGGTCTATCAGCTCTACTAACCATTCTATTGATTGGCGGCGTTGTCGGCGCTCTTCCAACATCCCGTGGCCAGCTATGGACTCTTGGGTCCCTGCTGTTGATTCTGACATTCGTGTACGACATGACCATCGGACCTGTGTGCTATGTTCTGGTCGCAGAAATCCCATCGACTCGGCTTCGTGTAAAAACAGTTGTTATGGCTCGGACGGCCTACAACTTAGCTGGGATCCTCATCAATTGGATCACCCCACGTATGCTCAGCCCCACGGCGTGGAACTGGAAGGGAAAGTCCTGTTTCTTCTTCGCTGGCACGACAGCGCTGTGTCTTATCTGGTGTTACTGGAGGCTGCCTGAGACCTTTGGCTTGAGCTATTTGGAGATTGACATCTTGTTCGAAAGAAAAGCGAAAGCCAGCAAGTTCCGCGAGCTTCGGGCCAACCTCGAAAGCTCGGGATATTTTAGCATTGAGCACTCGGCAGATGAGGCAAGCACCTGGCGGAGGTATTGAGATTGAACTTTCTGTTCAAGAACAGCATGTGACGTAGACCAACCGCATATTTCCTCTTCAGTAAGTGGTTCGGGATTCTTCACTCTGTCCAGGATATAAAACAATGCCATTGAAGATTGGTTCCACTATAAGAGCCGTGCCTTCGGAGTGAACCTACACGATCCATTCCAAAGAGCACATGCTAAGTGGGAGCGGAAAGCCAGCACAGTGGAGATCAACCATCAACTCGAGGCTCATGAGGATAGTTCTCAGGATTGTGAGAAGTGTGAAATACCGAATGAACCACCGAGAAAAGACTACTTTCCTGAAGAGCCTTGTAGTAGCCTAGTGAGTGAAGTTCTGAGCTCCGTGATTGGCGTGGGACACTTGGATGGAGTAGATGGAGATCCGAATGCTCGCCGTGGTAAGAAGATTCGGCGCAGGTAATGCTATAACTTGTCGATCATATTATTGCTCTGATTTTATTACTATGACTCGTTATTAGATATCTTGGCTACGAGTGGTCATTATGTGTTGTGAATTTAGCTCTAACCGAATTTAATTTTGCTGCGCCGTATAGACACTTTGCTCGTATCCATCATAGTAATAATCCCGGATAGAGCTGGCCTCAATAACACCACATCGGCAGCAGCCTGCGCGATATCGCTGCCTCATGTAAATAGCCAAATTCCTTATTAGGAAAGAAGCTAAATAGATATCGCTCGGCGTTTCGTAGGTGACATTGTAAGTGGGTTAAGAAAGCGATGCCTGTTTGCGAACATCTCTACCATCTGCAGGTTTTGATCAGTGCGTCGTGGCATCATCAGACGCCGATTTCGAATACTGCTCATACCAAATAAGATGGCTCCTAATTGTTGTTACAGGAATTGATTACGCGTCCAGTACTTTTTGAAAAAAAATAATTACTCCTTGTTTTCGAAGGCGCCAAATTGGTAAAGGGCAAATAGTCATCGTATCCTAGGAAGTGGCGCCAATAATAAGGAAATGTAGGACACGACTTCTATACGACTATTAAGAAGTATCTGTAAGTACACTGGAAAGTTGAAGGCCCAGAAAATTGACTTGTTCACTATCTTCTGATCCTGAGTGTCATAGCTCTAAGTGTGAAGGACGGACGGGGCAGCTGAGATCCACCTATACGCGCAGCCAATTAGTGCCTAGCATTGTACACAATCATCTCGCTTATTATTTTCTTAATGCCAACTCTTTCTTAACCATCGATGGAGATTATCCCTTGTAAAACAGCGATTAAGAGTCCCGCTATCGCCGTTCGCTAGTGATCTAGTTAGAATACTACTCTTCATGGCAATCCGCACGTTGGTCATTTGGAATGTTTCTTGTTTAAAAAAAAAGCAAAATTGTGTTAAGCATATTTTTATTTTTTTGTTCGAGATTTCTTAAGCCGATTAAGGATAGAAACATTAATTAGCGAGGGCCGGCTAAATATAGAAAGACCCTTTTATGCTCCCCGTTAGTGTCCGTAAGTGGGGTGAGTGTGGGGCTTCGTGATTATGAAAATGGTGAAACAGCCAATGAAGCGTACAATTCCAGGATCGGACCATACAAGTGGTGTTTCTCCTGCGGGATCCCTGTGAACCTAGAAGACCCTTATGGCGCGTTCGCCCGACACATTTTATGCCTAGACAGGGATACGCCCTTACCAAGCCAATACTTCCACCCTAGGGCTTTGTTGCTGATGTGAAGTCAGTAATCTACTTGGATCTACTTATGAAGGTACAGACTGTGCGTGTCACTAGATAAGGTAATCTATAATGGGGGTCGTACAGAATGCCCGAAGGCACACACATTTATAATCGTAAAGGCTGACCAAGAGAAACATAGTGATCATTCTTTATCATGAAGCAATCCAGTACGGGACCAATGTACTGAGCGTAGGACAGCCCAGTGGGCCTCCCCAATCGTCAATTGGACCGATCCTGGCTCTCCATATAACTCTTCATCCCTTCCACTATATCTTTCTCCTTCATTCATTCTTTCAATAGTCCTTTTAGCGCATCTGCCGACTCTCGTTCATATCATCAGATTTCCATCACTCTTTTCATCGATTTCATCATTTTGCTCCACAAACAAAGGCATTATGAAGGTTTCCGTAGCCTCCATGGCCATGGCCATCCTTCTGGGTGCTTCCACCGTCTTCAGTGAGGCTCCAAACATCAAGGACCGCGACAGCAGTATTGTTCCCATCACCGTCAAGGGCAATGCCTTCTTCAAGGGCGATGATCGCTTTTACATCCGTGGTGTCGACTATCAGCCTGGTGGTTCCTCCAAGCTTCATGATTCTATCGCTGATGCCGACAACTGCAAGCGTGATATCAAGACTTTCAAGGAACTAGGCTTGAACACCATTCGTGTCTACCACGTCGATAACTCTAAAGACCACGACGAGTGCATGAAAGCCCTAGCTGAGGCTGGAATTTACCTAGTTCTCGACGTCAACACCCCTAAGTACTCTATCAACCGTGCCGATCCCGAAGTCTCCTACAACGACGTCTACCTCCAGTACATCTTCGCCACCGTGGAGATGTTTGCTAAATACGACAACACCTTGGCCTTTTTCTCGGGTAACGAGGTCATCAACGACGGTCCCACCTCCGAGGCTGCTCCGTACATAAAGGCCGTCACCCGTGACCTACGGACGTACCTCCGTTCTCGCAACCTCCGTCACGTCCCCGTTGGTTATTCTGCCACCGATATCGATACCAACCGTCTGGAGATGGCTGAGTATATGAACTGCGGCACTGATGATGAGCGATCCGACTTTTTCGCATTCAACGACTACTCCTGGTGTGACCCTTCCTCTTTCACTACTTCAGGCTGGGATCAGAAGGTCAAAAACTTCACCGGCTACGGCATTCCTCTTTTCATCTCCGAGTACGGCTGCAACACCAATACCCGTAAATTCGAGGAGGTCAGCGCCCTCTACTCTACTGATATGACCGCCGTCTACTCCGGCGGTATCGTCTACGAGTATTCTGAGGAAGGCAACAAGTGGGGCCTGGTCAAGATCGACGGTGACGATGTTACACATCTGAAGGACTACGATGCTCTCAAGTCTGCCTTTGATAAGACTGACAACCCCAAGGGCGACGGCGGGTACAATTCCACTGGAGGTGCATCCGGCTGCCCTAAGATGCAGAAGCCCAACTGGAATGTCCCCGATAACGGTCTCCCTGCCATACCATTACCTGCGAAGAAATACCTTACTCAGGGTGCTGGAAAGGGTGTTGGCTTCAGCGGTGAGGGCTCTCAGAACGCTGGCACCAAGTCATCCGGCACCGCAACGCAGGGCTCTGGCGAGGTCGCCGCTGCCACGAGGGGCGGTAGCGCTGCCTCCGCAACCACCTCTGAAGGTGCTGCTGCTGGCCTCAAGCCCCTGCAATTGAGCATCCCCGCTACCCTTAGCTTGATGATTGTCTTATCGACATTGTTCGGCGCCCATTTGGTTCTCTTGTAATGTTCTCCTCACCTCCACCCCTCCTTTGTTAGGGAATTCATCTAGATCTCTTGTTGGACATGCATATTTTAGCAGTCATCTTCAAGCTCTGTGATGATTATCATCCGATTGTGGCTTGAGTTATCATTCTTGAAGTCACCTCAACTATCACGCTTGTCATTTCTAGGCAAGTACACTTTGTCATTTACATCAATATTTTTCTCCGAGAAGTCACAAACACTCAAAGGGATTACTTTTTGTCTTCTTTATTCCATTCTTGATGTATTGAATTTGAGATATGAATTCTACATCCCTTTTAACTACATTATATATGATTTTCCAATGCCCATGCCACGTCTGTTAGCACAGTACAGAAAGCAATATAATGGTAATATGCACCGGGACTACTTCATCAAGATAGTTGGCCACTGTTCCTTCGACATCGCAATGTAGCACTCCAGCCGATGAAATGCTGCTAAAGTGTACGCTCTCTTCGCCGGTATCTCAGCTTCCTGGCGGCACAGACACCATGCACATAGTCCCACCTCCAGGATGACGACCGTGCTCTTTTAGGCCGGTACGGAAGCGGTGCTGGCGTCACGCGGTCTGTGCTGGACCCTAACAGATCATTCTGATTTCTTCCTTGGGCCACAAATCCAAGTCTCCTTGATCCGCTGTCCCTTGAGCCGCCGCTGGGATTCCAATGGTCGATCCGCATTCAAGCGCAGTATTTTCGACCACTTAACGAATCATTTCACATCTGTGTATTGGTAGATACACAGAAACAACACGTTGTATTTCGACATCAAGAGATTTGAACCAGTGAGTAGATGTCATCTAATTTCAGCTTGCAGGAACCATTCCACTTCCAAGTTGTACATTGCTTCAATCCGGTGAAGAACTTTCTGGGTGTGTTTCGGCAGCAACAGAAATCGGTCTTTCAGACCTTCGAGGCGCAGTCATGGCAAAGAAGCTTGGTGTTTGAACTTTCGTCTTGACTGCGCTCGACGGCGCTCTGACTTTGGGAGTCTATCTTCCAGGAACTTCAATAGACGGCGAAGCTTCTGTACGCTCGAAAGTCCACCGATACAGAGAGAGAATTCAATGGCGACACGGGTCATGTGGAGAAGAGATTCACGATCCTGTGAAAGACGGTGGACAGCAGCGTGGCGGATGCCAGAAACCAATCTTTGCCATTTTTGTATAGTAATAGCGGCTTGACGGCAAGAGCTACACCGTATCTTGTCCCGATGTTCCACCAAGAATTTGAAAAGCCTGTGTAGCTCTAGTTCCTCTGGGCATGTCCACCCAACCATGAGAGACTCCTCCAAGAGCCATTTTTGAACGAATTGAAATGCATCGAATTCGAGATGTCGCTGTATGGCTTGGAGAATAAGATTTTGTGCGCGGAAAGGGATCTTTGTCATTGGAACTCCGAGAAGTGAGTTTAGACCTTGTAAGACTGTTGTTCGAGCCCGTAGATTAGTCGGCGCGCTCCTAAATTTGTAGCTTGAACTTACTGAAGATGGTATCGATGTTCCCTCGG